CAACCGGTAGTAACGCTCAAAATTATGAGGAGAGGCCCAGCTGGCCGCGGAGCAGATGTCCTGCAGTGGCACTCCCCTGAACAAAGCCCAAGAGGCGGCTAAGCCCCTTGTGGAATGAGCTCTGATGCCCCTTGGGGCTGCACTCCCTTTGCTTCATAAGCCATAGTATAGCGTCCACAAGCCAATGTGAGAGGCATTGCTTTGAAATGGGACTCCCCTTGTGCAGGGGAGCCCTTGAAACAAAGAGCTGGTCGCTCTTGCGGAAAGCAGTGGTCCTGGTCATTATGCTTCCAGAGCACGGACGGGACACAGAGCATTCAGCCCCTGATCCTCCGGGGAGGCAAAGGGTGGAGGGTGAAAAGCGGATAGCTCCAAAACCTCCGACGTGAACGCAGGGAAGCATTTCGGCATGAAGGCCGGGTTAGGCTTAAGGAAAACCTTATCTCCACTTAGGGAGAATTTGGCGCACGAGGGGTGAACCGAGAGTGCATGTAGCTCACTGACCCGTTTAGCAGATGCCAAGGCCGAGAGCAAAGCTGTCTTGAGGGACAGCAGCTTAAGGGAAATACTCCCCAGAGGCTCAAAAGGATACAGAGACCGCGCTTCCAGCACCATGGAGAGGTCCCACTCTGGGACAGATTCAACAGATCTCCTGATGACCAGCAAAAAGCGGCGTGCACCCTCCATAAATCTGCGGGTTAGAGGGTGCTGCCTGACGGTGGAGCCCCAAAACCCACATGACAGGCTGAAATCGCAGTCAGGTAGACCTTAATAGTGGAAAAGGACCTGCCTCTTTCCATGAGGTCTTGCAGGAAACACAAAATATCAGGCACCGAGAACTGATAAGATGTGAAACCACGCCCATCATACCACCCTTCGAACACTTGCCACTTACAGCCATATAGGGATCGCGTGGAAACGGCCCTGGCCTTCTGAGTAGTGGCGATTACATGCGGCGGGAGTCCCAGTGCATTTTGGTTCGTCCTCTCACGGGCCAGGCCCAGAGAGCCACCCTGTCCGGGTGGGGGTGGTAAATCTCCCCGTTGGCTTGGGACAGTATGTCCGTGCGAGGGGGGAGGCGCCATGGCTCGGCGTATAACAGAGGGATTATCTCTGCCAGCCATGGGGCTTTGGGCCACCTGGGTGCTATCAGAATGAGAGACAGGCCGTGCTCTCTCACCCTGGCCAGTGTGAAAATTATCAGGCACAGGGGAGGAAAAGCATACAACAGCACTTTGGGCCATGGGTGGGCCAGTGCGTCTGCCCCGAGGGGCGCGTCCATGTCCTTTAGCGAGAAGAACATAGGACAATGGTGATTACCAGAAATAAAAACCATGGTTTATCAGATTGGGTGGCACCATCTGAATCGCTCCCTTGTTAGGAGAGAGGAAATTTCCTCTTTCAGAATGTGTGAGGCGTTTTCTTCTGTGTGAGAAGACAGAACGCCGTTGAAATGCGGAGGTTTTATTGCAAACTGCAGCTTGTAACCATGGGTTATAGTACGCCAAAACTCACTCGGGCGCTAAAACGGCTTGCCAAGCCGCTTTGTGACTCGCAAGCGCCCCCGCTCGGGCCCGAGCGGAGCTGTATGAGCCCAGCTGGTTCATTTGTGATGCAAAGGCGCCATCTAGTGGGAACACTAGAGGCGACATGCAAGGGTTTGGAGGGATTTTCTCTCTCTGCATTGAGAAGTTTTCTTTGCGGAGAGAGGTCTTCTCTCCAAAACGAATTCATTTGATTCGTAGCTTTGTGTGTTTTGTGTTGGGCAAACACTGGGGCCGAAGCCTTTATTGACAGAGTGAGGGAAACATAGTGTGGTGTCCACTGTGCTGAACTTTCCCTCACAAGGTGTCCCCAAAAGTGGGAAAAACACATATCTCCTGAACACATGAACTGGGCAGTCTCAAGTGCAGGCAGAAAAATAATATCCGCGGAGAGAGATTTATTTAATGCGTTTTTTTTTTTTGTTTTTTTTTTAAGTGTTATTTAGTTATGTGTGTGTTTTTTGTTGGGGAACACAGGGGCCTTACACACACAACGTCCACTAAAAACACATCGGCTGGACAGCCGCAACTGAGCTGTGTGAGCCCAGTTGGTTGATTTATGAGGCAATGGCGACCTCTTGTGGACGGACTCTGGGCGACATGCATGGGATCAGAGAGATTTGCTCTCTATGTTGCCGCTGGCAGATATATAAATCTGCACGAATTCATTTGATTCGTTTATTAAATGTGTTGTTTAGTAATGTGTGTGTTTTGTGTTGGGAAACACTGGGGCCGAAGCCTTTAATAACTGGGTGAGGGGAACCAAGTGCGTGCGGTGTGGTAACACTGCTATGTACTTTTCCTCACGACAGCCCCCTCCCCCGTAACTTGTTGTTGTGGGGGGGAGGGGGACACACACACACAACGTCCACTAACATACGGGCTGGGCAGCCACGAGAGGGGATTAACCGACCGTAGGTGGGAGACCCTGTTAGTTAACGTTACTCCCAATGGTCGAACAACAGGCAGGCCGCTTGCGTTCGGGACTGCCTTCCTAGGAAGGCATAAAATTGAAAACCTCAACACGTAATCGTAACAAATCAAGGCCCGTGAGACCGTGTTAACAGTCTAGCGGGACGCTCCAGCCGTTCAGACTGGGCGGTGGTCCCAGCGTTTACCCGTCGTACATATTCCTATCCTGGTTGGTGGCGCTCTGTGGAGCTGGCCACACAATGTTGAGACGAACGGCCGCTCGCTCACAAACTTCCAGGAGGATGGACGGAGGCAAAGCCGCGTGAACGCTAGCCTAGGGAACGCTAAAAGGACCGAGTCATCCCCGTCGCCGGAACCGACCGGTTCGTCAACGAGAGTGAGGTTTTCCCGCGAAGATGTCCTCTTCAGGGAATGCGGATTGTACTGATGTCAGCTCAAATATTTTAGAGAGGTGGCGCTCCGGGAGTCCCCCGGTAGCGCGTCATCATCACTGTGTCTCTCCTCCGAGTCAGAAAGGCCGAGCACGGCGCGCTGTGTCGTGCAACTAAAAGCCAGCTTAGTAAAAGCTACATGGGCAGCAATTACAATGACCGCAATTCCCCGGGTTCTCCAAAGCTTGAGCGTGTTAAGCCCAAGCAGACCACGCAGAACGAGAGGGTCCTTATAGCGGCGATGAGAGCACCACACGCGGCCGGGCAGGCTCGTCGTGATAGGCTGTTCCCCGGGGGAAGCGGCTGTTTAGACGGTCACATAGCCATGGGTGGGCCAGCAGTGAAGAACTCGGAAAAATCCGTGGCGGGCAGCCATGTAAAGGAGGAGCAGGTGAAGGACAGCGAGAGCTCGGGCGGCTCCGGATGCAAAAAACACAGCGGATAGGCTGAAGAAACGACTGTCACTCACGTCTGGCGGAGGCTGATCTGGCGATATGTCCTCCTGAAGACTCGAAAGTGAGCAGCGTAACGTTAATCCAACCGAACTGTGTCAATGCAGAGATCGCGAGAAGCGAATGTCAACTGAGGAATAGCAGCGCGCCCAGCTGTGATATGCCCGTAGGTAATGGGGTGTGGCCTCACCTGGCATTGGCTGCGCGCTTCTGTCTGTTAGCCAGACTTGGTGCAATTGGATGCTTCTGCAGAGGTCAGGTACGGATGCCCTTCCCATAGGTGGATCTCGAAACGAGATGATGAAAGAGAACAAATGATTGATGGCGCTACTCAAAAGGGTGTCTATCCGCATCTTCATTGACTTGCCCTGGAATTTGTATGCACTCCTGCCTCCACAGTCCCATGTGAGAGAATATTCTCAAAGGCAGGGGAAGTAGTTGCCCAAATAAAAAAAAGAAATATACTTAGCCCTCACACTGTTGAACAAGTCCTGTTCCTTAATAAAAGCTTTAATTTCTTCAATTACTTCACAGTTCACAAGCATTTTCACTACCCAGCACTTCACCATTCCACAATAGTTTTCTTTTATTTTTATTATATATGCCTATATGAGCCTTGCCTATGAACTCATAGGTTTAGGACTATGGCGAATGTATTAAGACTGCATTTGTTGAACAAAGCAGAGTTAATTTGTCCTATGTATTAATTCTTTCATAAATTAATTCATAGACTCATTTGTGCATACATTGTGTAAAGATCAACACTGACACTGATGATTTTTATTGCTTTGTGGTTTTCATAGCACAAAGTGATTTATTACATAAAACATTTTTTTTAAAACTTGGGAAAGGTAGCTTTTCCACCTTTTGACCACAAGATGTCGTTAGTGCACCGTGTTGAAAAGCTTCGAGTAATGAACCAATTTACGATACACTTGTCTTGACAGAAGACAAAGACAGAAAGTCGTTGTTCTGCACGCATCTGCAGGCAAAGGAGGACATCAACTTTCGGTGAATCGTTTCGACGTCCTGGGTAAAAACAACGTAATCGGGCGTTACGTCACTTCATTCATCCAAGTAACTAATTGATCTCTATAAACAAATACACAGGATGGCAAAAGTGTAGGCTTACTCACTTCAGGCGTCTTGTCTTTAAGCCAGGCGAGTTTTAGCACCTCGCCCATGGTGCGGACATCAACAGATTCCTAATAAATGAGCTAGAAAGAGAGGAACACAATTAAACACAAAAACTCAAAAATCAATGGTTTCTGAAACTTGCCAAAGGCAGACTGCCAGACAACTAGCCAGCCACTGACAGGTCACGTGACCTGCCAGGCTCAGACTGGCAGCTGCCAGCCAGCCACTGACAGGTCACGTGACCTGCCAGTGGCGGTGTTCCGGAAAATTCAGTTCCCCTGTTTCCCCTTCAGCGCGCATGCGCAACAGCAAGACGAAAATCATGATCTCACGTCATTATTCCGCGCAAGCTCCTAGCCATATATTGTGCATCGCGGTATTTTTACTTATTCTCCATCACAGTAATGTACATTTTACTCAGTTTGTTAGATAATTTGCAATTACTGAAAATGTTTTTGTATTTTAGAGTGCTGTAGTTTCACACTCAAACAGGAGGTGTCGCCAAACGCCTCTTTTAGTTTCGGAATCCGGTGAAGAGCGACGTTTATCTCCCGTTCATACGCGAGCACCGTTCAATTTCTCGTTTTTTATTATTCATTTACTTATTATAGACGTATATAAGAAGTGATAAAATACTTTATTTAGGGGCAGATAAATCGGATTGCTTCGGTTGAGTAGACGAAGCGTCTTTGGGAAGGTATCAGAAGGTATGTGGTTCAGCTAAGTTAGCTCGCTAAAGCTAACACTTTCGTTTCATCAGTTATGCAAAACAGTTTCCCATTTATGATGTAAATATAACTATTAACTATTATGTTATGCCTAAAAGGGTCTTATTTTGGTTTTTCGTTTTGGCTGAATATGGAATGTTTAGGTGCATGATTGATTGGTTTAGCTTTTTATTAGTTGGACCTGTGTGTGTGTGTGTGTGTGTGTGTGTTTGTGTGTTTTGAATAAACTATATGGGTGTTTTTGACTGAGCATTTTGCTTTATATGTTGTATGTCTGGGTTGTTAACCATGCAGTGATGCTGCATTTGAGATGCATATATAACGTTAAGAAATACAGTTAATTTTAAAACGGATATTAGTCTGTATGTTATACTGTAGTGTATTATACATTCACGTATTTTATATTTTGTTTAAGCAGGGTTATTTCCAGCATGGCGGATGGAGAGGGGTTTGTGGTGCGAGTCAGAGGTTTGCCCTGGTCCTGCTCTGTTGATGAAGTTCAGAGGTTTTTCTCAGGTAAAAGAGCCTCTGCTTAAATCTCCATATTTTCTCCTTGTGGATTATTCCCTGCTTGACTAATTCTAGCTAAATTTCTTTATAGAATGCAAAATTGCGAACAATGGAACAAGCATACACTTCACATATACACGGGAAGGACGACCAAGTGGAGAGGCATTTGTCGAGTTTGAATCGGAGGAAGGTCTTAAAATCGCAGTGAAGAAAGATCGTGAAACCATGGGGCACCGTTACGTAGAAGGTAGGCAGCTCCTTTTGCCTTAGTTAGGATCCTTAATAATTCATGGCAAAATGCTGATCGATTAATGTGTGGTTTCAGTATTCAAATCCAATAGTGTTGAGATGGACTGGGTTCTGAAGCACACCGGACCGAACTGCCCAGACACAGGAGGAGACGGCCTGGTTAGGCTTCGCGGTCTGCCCTTCGGATGCAGCAAGGAGGAAATTGTCCAATTTTTTGCAGGTATGTTTGATAGGAAGTTTAAATTCCCCACTTTACACCAAATAAACAATATGCCTACATCTAAGGTGTATTTTAGCTCATTGGACCATCATTTGCACATAAATTAACCTTGAACATTAAGTACTCCGTTTTAGTCATTTAATCTTTAAAATTAGGATTAGTTGAAATTTGTATTAAATCTCCAGAATTGGATCATCCAGAAGGACCAAGATGGGTCACTTTTTATTCAGCTTTGTCCTTTAAAGGGTTAGTTCACACAAAAATTAAAATTCTGTCATTTAGTCTCTCTTATGTTGTTTCAAACCCATAAGTATTTTGTTCATCTTTGAAACCCAAATTAAGAGATTTTTAATGAAACCTGAGAGATTTCTGTTCCTCCCTTAAAAGTCTATTCACACAAAACTCTGACACTTCAAAAGGTTCATAAAGAGATCGTTAAATAAATCCAAATGAATCGAGTGGTTTAGTCCAAGTCTTCTGAAGAGACTTCGCTTTATATGATGAACAGATTCAATTTAGGCTTTTATTCACACATAAACATTGATCAGCGAATATAATCTGAAGCTCAATGGTACTTGTGAGAATGAACCTCATTGGTTCTTGCTGAAGCTCAAACGTGCTTCGTAACACGAGAATGAACCTCATTGGTTCTTGCACGTCAAGCGAACATGCTAGAGCTTCCGTTACCAAAATTGAATGCTGTAAAGATTGTTCGCTGATCAATGTTTATATGTGATTAAAATCCTGAATTAAATCTGTTCATCATATAAAGCAATCACGTCTCTTCTGAAGACTTGGATTAAACAGATTTATTCAAATGGATTTATTTTAAGACCTAGATTTTGAGAACAAAAGTCTTCTGGGTTTGAAACGTCATGAGGGTTAGTAAATGATGACAGAAATTTCCTTTTTGAATGAACTATCCCTTTAATGTAATTATCAGAAATTGTACTTAAAAAATTTTTTTAAATTGCCTCAGCCCTTTTGTAGTTTTTAGTTACCTAAAAAAGGTGGACAACAATCTAGGCATTTATTGGGGCTTTCCAAACAAACAGAGATGGGTTGAGACAGACTCTCAATAGGCATTTGATTTAAGTGACCCTTTTTTCTTTTTCTTGCACCAAATTATCCATAAGTTGTGCCAGAAAAGGTATTGCGGCCCCATTTGGTATGTTTATTTAGTATCATTTCTCATTTGACATAAAGAGAAACCCATAGAGTAATATAAAGTCTTGTTAATGGGCTTGTGACTTAATTTGTCCCCCACTGGGGTTATCTGTCCTTGGGTTGAAGGGTTGGAAATCGTGCCAAATGGGATAACATTGCCGGTGGACTTCCAGGGGAGGAGTACGGGGGAGGCCTTCGTGCAGTTTGCTTCACAGGATATAGCCGAAAAGGCTCTAAAGAAACACAAGGAAAGAATAGGGCACAGGTGGGGATGGCTGGTTGGTTGCCTGGATACGTTGCTTTTCTTATGGTGTTCACCTCATTAAATCATCCACTGCAGAAATGACAACACATGACCACAGATGATTTGATGACAAACGAGAAAAAAACAAAAAACAAGGAAAATGAAGCCCAGCTGTTTATTCGTTTTTAGTGCTGAGTGAACCATTGAGCTGCGCTGTGTAGATTTAAAGAGGAAAAGAGCTTAGTAGATATTTAAACTTTTTGACAAGCTGGTGAATTTGCATTTTGGGTTGTAATGGACAGTCAGCCAGACTCATTAAAAGTGCGGCCACATTAGCAAAATTTTACAGGCAAAAAGGTACATTGTATATTGTCAATTGCTCGCACTGAAGTTACTTTCAACCCGAGCAGCTTTTTCTGTTGGTCAGTTCCCGATTGGGTAGATAGATTCCTGTTGAAATGATTTGATTTCGCCTGTGAAAATTTTGCTGATCGACGCAAATTGTGACTTTACTTTAAGCCGGGCGTACACGGTATGATTTTTATCGTTAATAATCGTTGATGCTTGAATGGTCACGGAATTGTGTGAGAGGAATTAAGAGCTGAGCAGAGTAGTTTGCGGGCACCTCCCAATAATTTTTAAACCTGTTCACATAGGTTGTCAACTATATAGCATAGCATCTATGAATATTAATATAGCCCTGTGGCTGCAACTCTACAGCACGCATACACTGACACACACTCTAGTTGTTTTGGAATTGATGTGCTGTTCTTTGCTTTTCACCAAATCATTTGCACGCTCGTCTTTTTATTTTCTTTCTTTTTTTCGATCCAAAGCTATAACAGCAACATTGAAAGCAGTCTCCGTGTTTAGAGCGAAAGCTCATGTGATTGCCGTGCCGCGTACCAGCTGCTTCGACACGATTATCAGGTTAACTGACTCGTAACGTGTTCAATGGTGTGTCTGAACTCACACAGTGTACGCCCGCCCTTAGTACGCCAGAATTGGGGCTTTTGAGATGTTTGGCATCAGCCCTCCCTGCTTGACCGATAGTCACATGGCCACTCAGCACTAAGCCTAATGCAATAGGAATCTGTCGGTGTTTCTACCATTTTGAAGACTTCAGATCATGAGGACCCAGTTAAACAGGTAATACAAAGTTAACCCTAACTGTCTGAAGTGCTTTGCTAGCAGAGAACGAAAGCAGCGTGTCAGTCCAATGAGACGACACCACACCTTCGGGTGACCATAAGAAAAGTTCTTCATAATGAAGGGTTGAATGAAACTAAATAAATAAGGGTGCTTTATTTCTTTTGTCTCTCTGTCTCTTTTTTATTTATTTTTTTCGGAAACTGTTACGTAAAGTCACTGAACGGAGACGCTGACTGTTAATTAGTGTCATCCCAGAGTCATTCTAACTAAGGGTGTTTGTTCATTAGACCTGTTTTCAGACAGCTCTTATTTATACTGCACGCAGGAATGCTCTTGTCTTCTGCCGATAGACCCTGGTGCCATCACTCTGTCTTTATGTCCTTAGGTATATAGAGATCTTCAAGAGCAGCCGTGCGGAAGTGCGCACACATTATGAACCGCAGCGTAAGGTCATGGGCATCCAGAGACCGGGCCCCTACGACAGGCCGGGAGGAGGCCGCGGCTACAACAGCATGGGAAGAGGAGTCTCCTTTGAGAGAATGAGACGTGGAGGCTACGGTGGGGGTAAATTATTTTTGGTGCTTATCAACATTATGCCACAAATGCTAATGATAGAGCGTAATAATGTGTGGCATCGTGAGAGGTACGGTATCACCAAAGTGTGGGTTGGTTCACAAATCGAGTCCAGGCAGAGATCAAGTCACTGGTTTCTTTCAATAAATCAACTCAAAACTCCAAAGCGTTCTTTTTATAACCCAAAACACTCTTCCAGCTTCACTTTATGCTCTCTAACAAAAAACAGCCAGTCTCTCTGTTCTCATTAACAGCTTTTCTCCTTCACCAGATGGAAATGGATAAATACTCTAAATGTTCCGATCCAATCTGACTTGTAATGCTGCCCGAATCATACACTGTTCCTTCGTTGGCCAGAGGAGAACTGGCCCTCTGACTGAGTCTGGTTTCTCCCAAGGTTTTTTTCTCCATTCTGTCACCTGATGGAGTTTTGGTTCCTTGCCACTGTTGCTTTGGCTTTTGGCTTGCTTAGTTGGGGACATTTAATATTCAACAATATTATTGATCTGCCTTACTTAAGGTGGACGTTGATGCAATTTTCTTCTAGAAACAAACTTTGTTGTATTATTTTCATGTTATCACTGTGAAGCTGCTTTGATACAATCTGTATTGTAAAAAGCGCTATATAAATAAAGGTGACTTGACTTGACTTGACTTCACTCACAACAGATGTGTCCCCACAGCTGAGGAACCTGGTAACTGTAGTCCGGGATGAGGTGGCCATCTTTGTTTGTAGTCTCCATGCTGTAACCACCTAGATGGCACATACCTTGCCTCTATGACATACCCTCTCACGATGCCACAAATGTTTAACCTGGAACATTGATTTGATATATTGACCTACTGTACAAAAGTTTGGGTTTGGTAAGATTTTTTTATATATATATATATATATATAAATATAATCACCTTATTATATATGTTGTATAGTTACAACATAATAGTTAAAGGCACAATATGTAAGATTTTTGGATTCAAATATCCAAAAACTACTAGAACAGTGTTATATATTATGTTGACTTGTGTACTTCTATTCCAAATGTTTCCAACAATGTTTAAATCCAGAGAAATGAACTATTTTAACTAGTGTAACGGTCCGTGTCATTACATCGCCTGTCAATGACGTCATATCCGCGTTACCCTCGGTTTGCGGTTTTACTTCCGTAGAAACCCCAAAGATGGTTTAATATTATGTGTTTTATTAGACAGGTGAGCAACTGTTTGGATACCTTTATCAGCAGAAAACTATTTTTAGATCGTTCAACACGGTTAGTCTTATTGTTTAAATCTCTTGTTTTGTACCATGCCTCAGAGACAACGCTATTTTGTCAAGGGGCTAACATGGCATAATCAGAAAGAGCTTTATTTGTAGTAACAGTAATAAGTAGTAGTAATAATTTCTCCACCATACAATATTTAAAAATTAATTGCTTCCCATTTAGCAACACAAGTCATCTAGCTTCATTAATATGATATTGTAATATCGATCTAGCTTACGACAATGTGCAACAAATGCAACGCATATAACATAACTTTAAACACACAAATGTGTTTTAGTATGATTGTTCTGACCAAGTAAAACAGCGCTGCGTTACCCCACAATTTTAATTTGTTAAGTAAGGTGACCTGTGTGAGTAGTAATTAAGTACTAATGGCTGTTTCATGAAATAAAATGTAAATTTAAGTGATCAAATGTAACTAAAAAAGTTCAAGTTCAGGGAAGATGGAGGTGGATGTTTAACGTAACTTTAATTGTAAAATAAACAAACGACAAAACACAAGGAGTGGCAGCGGCTGACTTTGGCATATAGGCATAACACAAACAGCAAGGTAAAATGTCCCAGGCTCTCGGCCCCGCCCTGCTTCATACCACCGTAACTGGGACACAGTTTAACACATTAGCTCATCCATGAACATGATTTCTGCCTGAATCCCATCGGATTGCTTTCCATTGGCTGTGGAGCTGAAGACGACAACTCCCATGATTCCACCCTTATTCACGGCGTCATCGAGCTACGCCTTTGTCATTGTTATAAATAAGCGACCTCTAGCGGTGAAACTTGCATACTATACCTGTGAAGATTGACTGCTAGGTCACTTTAGATAAGAAAGCTTTTGCCAAATGAAAAAAAATCTTTGCATCTTGCTCTATTTCAACAGCTTCCTCTTAAGATACTCATGCACAGTTAAGTAAAATAGACAGTGAAAGGTTTATCAGGATTTTTTTTTTTATTTGTTCTTTTTCTTATTTGAATCAAAGATGGTCGCTATGGAGATGGCAACTCCTCGTTTCAGAGCACAACGGGGCACTGTGTGCACATGAGAGGTCTTCCGTACAGGGCCACTGAGACAGACATATATAATGTGAGTCCTTATACTCAAATACCTGTTTATTTCTAGACTGTGTACTTAGACAGTTAACTGGATGCAATTAACAGATAGTGTCCATGTTGTCCTCTCTAGTTCTTCTCCCCACTGAACCCGGTGCGTGTTCACCTGGAGATCGGTCCTGATGGCAGAGTGACGGGCGAGGCGGATGTCGAGTTTGCCACGCATGAGGACGCTGTGGCTGCCATGTCGAAGGACAAAGCCAATATGCGTAAGTATTAGGAGAGGGAATAGCTACATTTAACACTGCAAGCCTTAGTGCTCAAGTGATTTTTTTTTACTCCCATCCAATTTCTTTGTATGGCTGTTCACATTTTTTTTTAAAGTGGACATTATCAGATTTGAGTGCGAACTTGCCACAGAACTGAAAAGTCATAGACGGTCATACGCATTTATTTATAAGGTGGTGTACCAGGGAAGCCAGCAAATTTGTGTGATGAGGATGAGGTGAAAGAGAGCAATGTTCTTCTCATATAGTATTTTCCCTCAAGTTTTGCTTATATAGAGCTGTCACTGTAATACATATGAGTATAACAGCTTCTCTGTCCCTCCACTGACTACCGTAAATCTGCTGCAAACTTCCATATTCACAGAGTGACCAAAGAACTACCAGAATGTATAATCTTTGGAGTGACTGTCATCGGTGCAGAACTGTGATGAATGTTGAGATGATTTGGCTGTTCAGACTGAGGTTGCATTTTAAAACTTCAGACCTGTATCTCATTTAGGTCCACATATATGGGACTAATATCCTGCCATGATTCAAAACTGAAAATAAAGTTCTGAAAGGTTGAAACTAAGTGTTCTCAGTAACTCAAAATCTTACCAAAAAAAAGTTTTGCATGATAGAAAAATAAGATTTGCAAGCTTGTAAAATGTACAAAAAAAATATATCTTTGCAGACATTGTTGTGTTTAAATCACCATTTACAAGGTTTCAAACCTGGAAAACAAACTAATACAGTGGGAGAACAGTGACAAAATGAAACTCTGAAAAAATGATTGCACAACACCGTAAAAAAGAGTGTTGCACTTCTGAAGAAGGAAAACTCAAAAACAAAATTATGTTTGCAGAGATTTTTTTTTTTTTTACCACTTTGCAAGCCTGCAAAACTGTTCAGGTTTCTTTATTTGTACCCGTAGGTAGATTTGTTTTGCAGTGTCAGTTATCCACACAATTTTTACGACAAACACAGACAATACACATTTGTTTTCAGAGTTTCAAAACTTTTTTTCACCTATTCGCACACCAGTTTTCAGATCACCATTTACAAGGTTTCAAACCTGGAAAACAAACTAATACAGTGGGAGAACACTGACAAATTTGAAACTCTGAAAAATTGTTTGCGCAACAATTGCAGTTCTTTTTTTGCAGTTCTGAAGAAGGAAATCTCAAAAACAACAATGTTTGCAGAGATATTTTAATTTTTTTACATTTTGTAAGCTTGCAAATCTTATTTTTCGATCTTGCAAAACTCAAAATCTTACAAAAAAAAGTTTTCGAACACTTAGTTTCAACCTTTCCGAACTTTATTTTCAGTTTTGAATCATGGCAGGATATTAATCCCATACACATATGGTGCGAATCATAATGGCAAAAAAAGATCAGAAAAAAACAGTAATGAATCTACGATCAGCTAAAGATAAAATATTGGATTTTTATTAAGTTCAGGTTTTGTTAACATGTCTTGAATGTCAGAATTCTTCTCTTGAAGCAAACACCTGAACACTTTGATAGATGATAATCTGGAGTCTAAATAATAACTCTATTTCTCATGCAGAGCACCGTTATGTGGAGCTGTTCCTAAACTCAACGGCAGGGGGCGGAAGCGGAGGATATGGTGGTCAAATGATGAGCGGTATGGGTAAGAGCTCTTCTTCACCTCTTCTTCACCAATGAGTAACTCTTACTAAGCAGCTATTAGGAGATGCGTTATTGTTGCTCTGCAGGAAACCAGTCATCATACGGACACAGCAGCCAACAGATGGGCTCTGGCTACAGCGGTGGTTATGGTAACCAGAGTGGCATGGGGGGCTACAGTGACTACAGTGAGTGTCAGCTCTTCCGTAGCTCTGCTAGCCGGTTCCATGCCAAATCCTATCGCCCTTGGACCCCTAGGGGTAGCAGTTTGTAATGCCTGATTAAAAAGCCTTTCGTGTTATCCTGTTGTAGCTGATCAGGTAAATACAATCACCATTAAACGGTACTCCAATGCCAATATTATCATTTTAATAAAGTTTGTCTGGATTTTACATTGCCTATTTAGTATCTTTCTGTTGTGCTACCTAAAATATAATGAATGTGTATCCTTCAATATCATAAAAAAAAAAAAAAAAAAAAAAAAAAAAGGTATGGTGATATTTAACACAGAGAGCACAATTCAATGAAAGTTTATGATTGCATGTAGTTTAGCTTACCAACTGAATCAAAGACAAACATTTATTTTTACCGTTTTATATATGACAGTTTGGACACAAGATGTATAATTAAAGTAAAAAATATTTATTGATGTTATGTTTTTGATGCATGTTGCTGATGATGCATTTTGGGATTAATAATTGGGTTCCAAAAGGAATTTGCAGTGAGTTCTTACAGCCAATGGTATTTTTAGGGGTCCAAGTGAGGTAGAATTTGATGCGTCACTGAAGGCCCTATCACATGACCTCCGTCAATGCATGCTATCTCTGGCACTGGATTTCGCTCAGGTCAAATGGTTTCACCTTTGACCCCACCTGACTTTTTAGAGCACAGTTATTGATTGGCAAACAGCTCACCAGGTTTCATTGCACGCATGGTGTCGGTGTAAAAAAAAAAACTTTATAATGTGAAATGCATGTTATTGCTTTGAATGTTTATGCCGTTTTTGAGACATTTTAAGCAACTTTAAATGATGAACCTGCATCGCTTGTCATGTGACTGGGCCTTGAGAATCATAGTAGAAATGCTGATTTCTTTCCACTGAGAACTCCCTGGTCCTAAAATGTGTATTTCTCCCTCCTGTCAGGTAATCAGGGCGGAATGGGCAGCAGTTACTACGGCGGAGGAAGCCGCGGATCCATGGGAATGAACGGCCTCAGCAGCGGCATGGGGGGAGGCTGGGGGATGTAGCCACCGGGGGTTTCATAGCTGGTTTATTATCTATGACAAACCTTAATTTGAACAGTGTCCTCTTTCGTTTGTTTGTTCTTTGTTCCTTGCTCCCTTCTAAGTTGTGTTTCTGAGCTTTACACAAGTAAATTTCTTTTTCCCTGTTGACATGGTTGAGGAAAATCCTTTTACTAGAGTTAGTAATGTATGTTATAAAGAGAAGCTCTTTATTTGCTGAAATGTGACACAGCCCATGTATCACACTGGAGAGGTGCCTGTAAATCTGTTTACAGTCAAGTATAAAAAGAGGTGATTTTTGTTTCCTCATTTCAGGATACTATGGGCCAACTTTATCAGAGCCTTTAGTACAGGTTGACGTCTTTGCACATGGAGGTTTCACTCTGTCAGCGAATGTAGCACATCGTATCTTAAACTTTTCGCTCCAGCAAAGGTGTTTTGCATGTACTTAATGCTTAATCCAGGCTGAAAGTTTAAAAAGATTACAAGTTTAAGGTGAAAAAAAAAAGTGTATTTTAAAGTATGGTGGGAAGTGAAGGGGTTTCATTTAGATGCATGTTACTGTTTGCATTTGGAAAAGCGTTTGCGTTTGCTTCCCCCCAAATGTATCACCTGTGACTTCAGTGTAGTGCATCAGTGGACAAATGTTTTGATTCCTCATGTCTTCATACTTCAAGGCAGTGTTTATTAAACCATACAGAATTCTATAAAATCTCCAGAGACTTCATTACAGCTTTATGAACAGAACAGGAGACGAGAGAGGGTACAACACAGAAAACTGTCATACAATCTAAAATATACATTTTGTATTCAGAGAGCCTTACAAAGTTTTATAAAGAAAATTTGACTGGTTAGAGCAAAAACAAAAGTCAAAGAAAATACTATCCATTTGCGCTTTAGTCTTGCATACGAGAAATGTAATTTTACCCCTGGACAAGGAAAAATCATTTAGACTTGCAATATAAATGTTCAAGTTGTTTATAAAACCATAGTTATGCAAACGTTTGCATTTGATAGTTTGTTTTATGAATGGTTGGTACATTTTCTTTAATAATTCACACATACCGACTGACGTTATATAATAACTGGCCCCATTTTGACCGATGTGAGCTCTGGTAGTGGTATGTGTTTGTAAGACAGTCTGTGGATTAAATCTTTATAGTACAAGTACATATATGCTAAAAAAACATAATTCAGTTATGCCATGTCTCATTAAATTTGACACTAATCAGAATTTACAAAACCATTACAAATGTCATTCAGTCCTATTTTGATAAGAGACAACTAAAGACTAAAAAGCACGAAGAGTATCAAAATATAATTCTTCTACCTTCACTTTTGGTGAACATCTGAAAGGCTTCTAAGTGTTAGTTCGCTCCCTATAATGGAGACTATCAGTATAAATACAGTCAATTATCCTAGTGTCTTCCTGTCAAAGAAACATTGCATATGATTTTGCAACAATCAAAAGGTTTAGTCAAACGGAAGCCATTGGTGCCACAAGAAATTAATGCATAAGTGTTAAAAATACAAAGAGTTGATTATTAGAGTTGGCCTGTAGTTTCACACACACGATCAGCAGTGTCAGGAGGCGCTGGGGCTCCTCTGGAGCAGAAGGGAATGGCAGACGTCACATACACGGACGGGTCTGGGGTACGAGGGCAAAGCCAGCTCATTACTGGAGCAGTTGCTGCAGTAGATGTCTCCACAGTTCCTGCAATGGTGCTTTAAACAGAAACACAAGAATGGAGTTATTCGCCAAAGGACTGAGACATAGTGATTGACAGAGAAGAACTTCACTCACTTTTCTCCGAGCGATTGAGAATTCTTTTTGGCACTGTTTGCACTGCGTAGCTTCGTCGTCTTTGAGCCAGGCCTGACCCTAGAGAGCAGAAATTACAACATCAATCGCCATTATCATGATACTGGAAGTTACCTTTGAAAGAAATGACGTTTTATTCAGAAAGGATGCATTAAATTGATCAAAGGTGACAGTAAAGACATTTAAAATGTAACAAAATATTTCAATTTCAAATAAATGCTGTTCTTTTGAACTTTCTAATTATCAAATTTTCAGTTTCCACAAAAACATTAAGCAGCACAACTGTTTTCAACATTGATAATAATAAGAAATGTTTCTTGAGCACCAAATCAGCATGTTCGAATGATTTCTGAAGGATCATGTGACACTGAAGCTTTATATATATTAAAGTGCAATAATATTTCTCAATATTTCTGCTTTTTTATCAAATAAATGCAGCCTTGGTGAGCATAAGAGACTTCTCTCAAAAGCATTTAAATTATCTTACCAACCACAAACCTTTGAACGTTATATACAGTACATAGAAACAAACCTGATAAACTGGATTCTAACAGGAATTTGATAATAATTCATCTTCATTATTTTTTTTATGTCAAATATACTGCAATAATGTTTTGAAATTGAGTCCTCAATGTTTTATTGTCTTGTCCATCTGGAATTTGAAGTCTGATCACTTAGTAAAGTTATAACATCTCTCAAGCACCATTATAATGACGATGTAGCAGCGTAGGACGAGTTAAACAGCAAAGTTTAATAAAGCAAACACTACTAACCTTTGCTTGGCTGTACAAATGAACACAAACAAAGGTGAACTTGCATGAAGCTCTTTTACCTTCAAGGCTTTATTGACCTCTTTGAAGTCCTCCATCTTGAGTTTGGATCTGAAAGTGGGATTTTAGAGTAAGACTAGTATGTTATATCAGACAGGAGGGGTGACAGAGAAATGAAGATAGAGAGGTCTCACTGGCTGAGATGAAGTCCCATCTCCTGTAGAGCCTGCTCCTGCTCCTCACACAGCTGCTGGAGCTGCTTCTTCTCCTGCCGGAGGTCAAGAAGCTCCTGCGGAAACAAAGGTGCAGTATGCTGGTTCAAAGCAGTCATTTATTCATGACAAAATAAAAAGATACTCAATCTAGCTTTGATTTTGTAGAATGTCAAGTGATTTATTGTCTGCCCTGGTTAAAGCAGCAGTGTATCTGACCGTCTGCAGGCCCTGCAGCTGCTGAAGCTGTGTGCGCAGCTCTGTGCTGTTGTCCTGTTCCCTCTGTAGTTCCCTCTGCAGGTTCTGACGCTGTTCTTTCTCCACGCTGAGCTCTGACTCCAGGCCTGCCCTGTACAAAAGAGAGAACAGCAACAACATGGAGTCAAAAGACAGGGTATCTGCAGGGTTTTTAAAATTGAATTTAAGGCTTTAGAGTTTATTAAGGCCTGCACAAATAATTTGTTACCATATGGGTGGTGTAAAGAAACATCAAAAACCATGAAAATGACTGAAAAAAATAATACAGGTTTTGACAAAAATAAAAAGGTTTATAGAATAATAAAGCTAACAAACCATTTCAGCCTTCAAATTTTTTTTCGGAAGAATTATAAAATCAACATAAGAATCAAAATAATAAAGATTCTAGAAATCTTTAAAAAAAATGTATAGAGAGAGTACAAGGCTAAAGGCAAACTTTAAGAAAAACATGCATTTCACTACCCCTTGTGTATGATTGCAGAAAAAAATATATGTATGCTTTTATTGAACATTCATGGAGCAACATATTTTGTGTGTAAAATAATTCATAAAAGTGGTTTATTTGTTTAAAAATCTTGATTAATGTATGCGGTGGCATGGTGGGCCTTTATCCCACACACAGGGTAAAGGCTCACTAGCATGGGGCAAAAGGCACAAACTATTGACACAAATACTTTAGCTAAAATAATATGTTTTGAATTCGTATTACAAGTCCAAAACATTACTTGTTCAAAACAATCACTAGCAAAGTTTGTATAATTTTCCCCCCAAATACCATACTTTTACATATTCTTCCGTTATTGAAAAACTGCTGCTTTAATTACCTTGAACAAAACTGAAAATATAACAATCTTAACAAAAAAACATCAGATATTAGATCAACTTTGCATCAAGGATCAGTCAGGCATTTAAATTTCCTGTTTAAATTTCAAAAGTGGTTGTTAGGAAAAGTGCTTTTTTGTGCCATCTAGTCAAATGAGCCTTCTACCCCGGTGCGCCTTTAGCCCTGTTGTACCCTATCAAATGTATTTATTTACCTTGAATACAAGGCAGCTGCTGAAATGGGACAAGTTTGCACATTGAACATTGTCAAAATTCATCAAGGCCATATACAGAAGCCCAGTTCACACTACCTGAGCGTGTCGAGGTCGGCGAGACGCTTCTGCAGAGCGTTCACTTTCCCTTTCATCTCCGATTTCAGCTCATTCTGGCTTTCATCTGAATTCTTGCGCACATTTTCTGAATTTTGAAGTCTGAGGAGCAAATGCTTGTGTTTAAGAGGTTTCGAAAAGTCCATACACTGCATATCACACATATCTCCAAAGTTTACCCAAAATGAAACTTCTGTCATTATGTTGTTTCAAACCTGTATGACTTGTTCCCCCAAAGCAAGAAAAGAAAAAGAGAGTTACCCAGGTTTGGAACAAGATAAGGGTGAGTAAGTGACTTTTGGGTGAATGATTCCTTAAGTGTGCACCTCTGCTCCATTTCTGTCATGACAGCCTCCATCTGAACCATCTTCTTTTCCAGTTGTAGCATATCCTCCACCTTTTTCTGGGCCACTCGGTCAGACTCCTTATGGGTCAGACGAAAAGATATACGCTTCAATTGGTTACAAGTAATCCTACTCCAGTTAACATCATGCTGTACAGACAAAAACAATGTAACACCTGTGCTTTGTTGAACATCTGTATGTTGAGATTCTTGACTTGGTCCAGTTGTTGTCGTAGTGCGGCCAGCGAGTCTTGTTTCTCATGCGTGTCCTTTTCCAGAAGTTTCATGGCAACTTCTATTTCCTGTTTCATGCCGATCTGCAGCTCCAGCTCCTTTTGTAACTCCTGATTGGACAAACAGTGCATGCGATTGGCTCTATATGTTATAAACACTGCCCGGCCACACACTCCACCATTTAGGGTTAGAAGAGCTGTTGCCAAACATACAACATGCTAGAAACATAATAATCACTGCAATAGTGATCCAATCATAGACGCTTAAAGTCCCCCTGTAGTCAATCATTTTGTCCCTTAAGGGTCATCTTTGATCACTAAAATGACACATTTAAAATGTTTATTTTCCTGTGAAAAATATTTATTCATGCCTTAAAATAGCTTGAATGTAACTCTACACCCTGGTTTAATTTAGTATACGCGGAGCTATGATAAATTAGTCCCCGCCTCCACTCAATCACATGAGCTCAGAGATCCACTCGGTCAACTTTACTGTAGTAAACGCTACACAATGGCAAGTGGAAATACTGGTTTAATTCAGCCATATACGTTTGAACCAGAAACTGTTTCAGAAGAAGAAGTGGAAGAGTGAATTATGCAGGCTCGTCTACAAGTCGATGTATCAGAATAGTAATGCTTTTCATGTATCGCTCTCTACAACACATGGTAACTAATATGATTAGCCTTTGGCTTGACTACATTATCAAACAGCTAATAATGTGTTGCTAATGTTACACAAACCATGTTCCCATTTGCCATCTCAGAGTAAGACAGCTGCCTTCTACCGCCCCTGCTTCACAGCAGTTAATGATATTCTAAAGCCCGCCGGCACGTTGAAGTGATTGGTTACAAGGTAGTTTGTGACGTCAGAAACACTGGTTTCAAACCGCGTTTTTGAGACTCTTTTTTTCACGGCAGTTTTAAGGAGAAAATACTTACTAATGGCTTTGACTTATGACTTTGTACATGATTTGTCTTAAAGGGATACTCCACCAGTTTTTCTTATTAAACTATGTTATTCCCTTAACTAAGACGAGTTGATACATACCTCTCTCGTCTCAGTGCGTGCACTATATCGCTCTGTATTGCCGCAAAACTATGTTAGCACTTAGCTTAGCCCATGCATTAAATATGGGCCAAGCAGAGAAGCGACCAAACACTTCCACGTTTTCCCTATGTAAACACAGTTACTCGAGTAGTGTAACTTGACCTGGGCTGGTGACACAAAATAAACCGTGGCGCTTTTCTAAGCGTTTAAAATTGATGACTATATTGTATGGCGGAATACCATAACAAGTGCTTTTGAGCACTTCGACTTGGCGCAATAATATCTTCACTCGTGAAAAGATTACCGGCTCCCGCTTCCTCTCCCCCTCCCTCCAATAGCATCCAGCTGCTGACATTTCCGTCAATACTACCAACGTGACTTTTACTACCTGTGCTATTAGCAAACTGCAGATCATTTGCAATGGCGGACTTTGTAGATGATTATGACTTCTTTTAGAAGACCCAGAGCCATATCTGTTTGAACCCGAGTACACGGAGGAGGAATTAGCTCTTGTGGACCGTGAGAGGCAAGAAAGATATGATCCAGAACAGACCGGAGCTGGCGAAAGACCACGGGCTTTCTGTAAGTGATCTGAATATTGTTGGTGTAGCCTCATCCTTTAGGCGTGTTCCTGTGCAGGTATAGTCCTTCTTTGTGAAATGTTCGGAGCAAACACGCCACTTCTTCAGAGTCATCAATGGTGTTTTGGGATTCTTGTTCAAAGCAGCTAACCAAGCTCTCCGCTGTATGTGGTGTGTTGGAATTCGGTGAAAAATGACAGCACTATGTACATTCTCCTTATTTTCACAACCCTTTACGATGCACGCTTTAACCATTATTGTACACAAACTAGCTTCCAACAACCTGTTACTTCGTCAACTCCGCTCGAACTACTACTACCGGCGCATGTCACGTTGGTTGTATTGACGGAAATGTCAGAGGGAGGGGGAGAGGAAGCGGGAACCGGTAAGAGGACTTTTCACGAGTGAAGATATTATTGCGCCAAGTCGAAGTGCTCAAAAGCAATTGTTATGGTATTCCGCCATACAATATAGTCATCAATTTTAAACGCTTAGAAAAGCGCAACGGTTTATTTTGTGTCACCAGCCCAGGTCAAGTTACACTACTCGAGTAACTGTGTTTACATAGGGAAAACGTGGAAGTGTTTGGTCGCTTCTCTGCTTGGCCCATATTTAATGCATGGGCTAAGCTAAGTGCTAACATAGTTTTGCGGCAATACAGAGCGATATAGTGCACGCACTGAGACGAGAGAGGTATGTATCAACTCGTCTTAGTTAAGGGAATAACATAGTTTAATAAGAAAAACTGGTGGAGTATCCCTTTAAAGCTGCAGTCCGGCATTTTTCCTCTTTGTCGCCATCTCTGTTTGAAATCTGTAATTGCAGTTATTCGCGGAATTATTAACTTTGCGTGAGTTGCACATCGGCATGAAACAGCGCGGATGAACACAATGTTTTGAGACTGCGAGTCTGTCAGTCACCGCGCCGATGTGGAAACTGGCATTCAGAATCACACATTCTACTTTTGGAAGTATAGGCCTACAGTATGACCATGACAACATACGAATTTTCATCGGAAAATGTCATCTGAACAAGTAAGTAACATCCACATCAACTAAGGGGGGAAAGCCTTGCAGTAAATCGTGCTGATTAAATATAACGATCGCGTCAAACCTTTCAAATTATACTTTGTTCTCAAATTATCAACATCAGCATTGTGACTACATTTAATGTGTATTATGATTACCCTGTAGTTCAGTTTCTATTTCTGTGCAGTCTAATTTCTAATTGTCATACCAATAAATTAATGTTTCTTTACTGGTTTTCTTTGAGAAAAAAAGAAAAGAAAAAAAAACACGTATCTGTAATCCGATGCATATTTAAAACTATATATAATTTCGGAGGAGGCCGGTTTGGTTTGCTTGGAGTAGAGGTGAATTGCTCCCTCTCATAGCTAGCACAAAATATTTACCATAATAGCTAAACGAATAAAGACAGGAAACTCCGTAACTGTGTGAATTAAGCGAACAAGTGTGCTACTGTTACACGATTGAACTATTGAAATGTCTTACCTGTCCTAAAAGAAAAAAAGCCGTCTCTGCGTCCGTTTTGAACCGATGTTTATCCTTGTTTTCGCGTGGGCCAGTTGCAGTCTCTTTTTTCTCTAACGTTACCCACTCCGAAGTCCGAATTATTTGGGGTTTTACAAGTGGTGAATGTCCAGTTGTCACTGGTGATTGTCGTTTGAACCTTTCTGGATCCGCCATAAGTTTAATTATTTAATGCTGTGAGAAAAGGCTAAAAATGTCCACCTCCAACATCCTCACGCAATATAGCTGACTAGCCGGGACGCCTTCTTTATGTGTACAGATGTGACGTAATTACGCAAAGACATGCTCGAATTTCCCGCGGAAATCCACCAGTACCACTGGAATTAAAATCATTATTACAAGCTAACCGTTTTGAATCGGGCAAAAGCAAGCAGATATTTTTGAACACTGGCTGGTTTTGTTTTTTTTAATCATTATTATTTTGGATAATTTTTAACCCAAAAAAGTTACGGACAGCAGCTTTAAAGGAACACGCCAACTTTTTAGGACTTATTCACCGTATCCCCCAGAGTTAGATAAGTCCATACATATACCCTTCTCATCTCCGTGCGTGCCGTAACAAAGTCTTAAATAAGCAAAGTCTTAAAGCTAGCTAGCCTAGCTTAGCACAAATACTGAAGGTAAACGGCTCCATCTAACCTACTGCTCCCAATAAGTGACAAAATAATGCCAACATTTTAATGTTACATTTACAACATTTAACATGTTATTTGCACACAATGGGTCTCATTCATGAAACACGAGCAGAACGAATTTTTGTGTAAATCGTGTGTAAAGTGGTTCTGGCGTAAATTTTCAGATTCATTAAAATGTTCGTATTTTCCAAATGTTAGTTGGTACACAAGAAATCTACACCTGCTCCCAGCCACGCGTAAATAGTGCGCTTAACACCCGAACGTTTTGCTCATTAATAAGGCTGCATTTTAATTCACCTTAATCGGGTACATATTTGCACAGCATTTTGAAAAAATATTATATATAGTAATTACATACGTTTTTTCTTATTATGAGAGCCAGTAATAGCATCTGCGATGGTGGTCCTTCTCCAGTTTGAATACTAGTTTTCCGAAGTGAACTTTTTTTGCTCTCAAGCTTAATGTCGAACCATTTTCTTCTCACTTCTGGGAATGTTCGATTAACAGATGAAACTCCATTAACTGCGTCTGTAATATGCTGCCAAGCTTCCTTTTTTTTTAGGACCCGATACGCCACTATGTACGCTTGAAAATAAAATGTGGCGTTTTGAATTAACTTCTGATAATAAAACTTCAATTTCTGCATCTGAGAATTTTTTTTTCATTCGCATTCATGTCATAATATGATGCCCATATAATAGTTGTCAGTCGGATTTAATGGGCGGGATTTATGGTAATTGAGGATGAACGTGCACGCGCATCCCATTTACGACTGATTGGAATTCATTAACACACACACACATTTCACTATCACATCTGACGTTTATGAAGTATTTGTGAATCAGGAGAAGAGTTTTCAGGAAGGTCTCTTTACGCGCAAATCACTCGCATATTTACTCGTATATTTACGAATGTTTCATGAATGAGACCCACTGTGACTATACAAATCACAAGATGGAGCCTGTTACCTCCATTATTTGTGCTAAGCTAGGCTAGGCTAGCTAGCTTTAAGACTTTGCCAATTTAAATCCCGGCCAAAAAATTTTGGCCGGGCAGTGTACTATGCAATACAATATTGACTCCAAATCAAAAATAACTGTACATTCTTACCTGCCGGATTCGTTTCTCCTCCTTGTACTGCTTCCACACAACATTGTACATTTCATCCAAACCCTGACGTGTCTGCCGATATGTTTCCAGCTCCACCTGGCTGTCTTGCATAGTCACCTAAAACATTCCAAATGGGAGGCAAATTTGTCTTCACTTGGTAAATAAAACTGGCCAGATGGTCGGTCTAACTTTTTTTGGAATTACTTTTATTTTCTCCATTTTGGATTTGGGGTTCCTTGCGATTGGCTTGCTTAGTTGGGGCTTTAATGGCATTTAACATTAAATAATATTATTGATTTGACTGCACTGACACTCAGATGGGAACAAAACTTGAACTGAATTGAGCTGGATGATGGACCTAGAGCTGATTATAGCTGAACTGAACTCATTTGATAATGAACTTTACAGTTATTGAACTGAACTGCATCAACACTGAACTGACTTCAGCTGAATAATGACTCGATTGTCTGTATAGAGCTGATTTACAGCAGAATTAGAATTGGTCTCATATTTGATGAAGTTTGAGTCATTTATCATAATTTTCCTGTTTATCACTGTGAAGCTGCTTTGAAAATCTGTATTGTTTAAAGTGCTATATAAATAAAGGTGACTTGACAAAACCCATTTTTGGCCATTGTTAGGCTAGCAGCATTAGCAGTTCAGGAAGTAAAATTATGCTTCTAACATTTTATTTCGAGTGTTTTTTACAAATGATTTCACACAGACATTTATCTTGTAACTCTCACCTCCTCTTTCCTCTGACTATTTTGAAGAATATTGGAATTTTCTTGTTTAAGTTGTTCCTGCTCTTCACACAGAGCGTTGATTCTGTCAGTGGCTGCTGTAAGCTGTACACAAGACAGAATAAATAAAAATGTTTTTCATGTTAATTCTGCATTTAACAGAGTGCATGAACAAATCCAAATATGCAAAAGCACATCATAGGCCTGTTTACACCTGGTCAAATCATGTTTATATACTTATTAGATAGCTATATGATTTGTTAAAACGTTTCCATTTACACTTGTTGGCCACATAAATGTGTTTCCGCAATTCAATCTTCAATTCCCGTGCTTTATGCAAATTTACGCTGCATTTTATTTATTTCTCTGCATTTTATTCACCACAGATGACGTTATGCATAGTAAAAGTGGGCATGGCAAGCTCCATATATAGTTATTTCGGGGTGGAGATGCGTACGCACAATCTTCTGCTGACTGAGTTTTATAAATTGAATTTTGTGCAGGTTCTGGCGTACGATGGTTTTATAAATCAGAAAACTTTTGTGCGTATGCAAAATCTAGCTTTTGTGCGCATGCACCCTTTTAGGATGAAATCTACGGAAGGTTTTATACATGAGGCGGCTGGTCTTTTCAAGATCAGATAGGTAACCAATCAGAGAAAACGCATGAGGTGATCAGGTGTAAACAGCCCCGTAAAGTCCATGAAAATCAATGCAACAGGTTCTTTGTGTACAGTGTTTTCACCTCCTCAATGAGTTTGCTGTTGGTCTTCTCCAGTGAGTCCATCTTGACCTGAAGATCCGTCACCGTGCAGCTCAGATGCCGGTTCAGTTCTTCTATGTAGTGCTTCTGGTCAAGAATGGCTGTCATTTTTGAATCACTGTTAGCAGTTAAAGAATCCGAAAGAGTCAACATTACTGACATTAAAGGGAAAGTTCACCCAAAAATGAAGATTTTCTCATCATTTACTCACCTTCAAGTCATTTTTAAACACAAAAGAAGATATTTTAATGAAGGTAGCCATTGACTTCCATAGGGTTCTTTTTTCTACTATGGAAGTCAATTGCTATCCGTCAACTTTCAGGTTACCAACATTCTGTAAAAGTGTTCAAAAGAAGAAAGAAACTCATACAGGTTTGGAACAACTTGAGGGTGAGTAAGCGATGACAAAATCTTTATTTTCACAATTATTTGCTAAATGATCACACACTCACTCTTGTGTGGTCTCAGTTGCTTGCGAATCCTTTAGATACATTGAGAAGTCAATGACGCACACCTGCAGCAAAAAGAACGCAGTGTTTAGTGTAAATGAGCGCATCTGGCAGCCTGGTTTTTAATGGCTATATGTTTCACCTGAGAATCCAGATCCTCTCCTTTCACACACAAATTTGCATCGATCACATTCAGACCCACCAGCATCCCTACGATCACAGTCCCCTCTTCCTCCATTATAAGAGCCCCAGGCTCATAAAATTCCCTGAGAAAGAAACAGATCAGGAATTTACTTTGGGAAACACAGGATTTAATAGCACTACAACCTTTTGTATGATATCAAATCAAATCTGTACAAGAGTCTAGATATGGAAGATTATTCTTTTTTCAATGACTTAACTGCTCTTACCCAAGAAGGTCTCTTCTATTAATAAGCACCTTCATGTAGTCTGCAATCTTTTTCTGCATAAGAGCCAGATGCAGCCACGCTCGAGCTCGACCAAGCCCTGTCCTGAAACAACACAAAACCTAATGAATGTAAAGAGCAAATGCATGCTCTCCTATTCCCTGATTCAAACATGATATTGCATCCAAGAAAAGCGCCTGTGAGTGATGGGCACCTACTTGATTCCAGGCATATCACGCACACTGGTGGCAATATCAGCTGACTCAGGGCTCAGTTTCTCTATCAACTCCAGAGGAGCCCAGATTGACTTATTCTGACCAATGAAAGATTTCCTCACTGCCCATGAGGAAAGATAGAAACATGCAGGATTTAGGCCATAAAAACTGGTTAATTTCACAAAACATTCCAACAACATATTTAGGTCTTACACCTTGAAATCAAAGACAATTAAGCACATTTCCATATTATTGAACTTTGAAGCAGGGTTATTGGTAAATAAAATTAAAACCCAAAAAATAAAACATTTTGATAACTTTAAACAAATATTACAAAGAAATAAAACAAATATTAACTTACATACATTTATATATAACATTACACACAACCATTCAAAGGTTTGGGGTCAGTAAGGGATCTTTGGGGTCTTTTTTGGGAGAAATTAAATAAATTATAATAGATAATATATATATAATATTATATAAAAACAATTTAAGAAATTAATACTTTTATTCAGCAAGGATGCATTAAATTGATGAAAAGTGACAGTAAAGACATTTATAATATTACCTAAGCTTTCTATTACAGATAAATGCAGTTCTATTCATCATTCTTTCTATTCATCAAAAAGTCTGAAAAAAAATTGTACACAACTGTTTTCAACATTGATAATAATAATAAATGTCTCTTGAGCAATAAATCAGCATATTAGAATGATTTCTGAAGGTTCATGTGACTGAAGAGGTAAGAGGTAATGATGCTGAAAATCAGCTTTGACATCACAGGAATAATTTCCATTTTACTATATATTCAAATAGAAAACAGTTATTTTAAATAGCAAAAATATTTCAAAATATTTGTCTTATTGTCTTATTGGTCTTTTATTGTTTCAATACGGATGATTTTGGCATACAGCTCATGAAAACCCAAAATTCCTGTCTAAAAAAATAGCATATTTCATCTGACCAATAAAAGAAGTGTTTTTAATACAAAAAAAAAAGTCAACCTTCAAATAATTATGTTCAGTTATGCACTCGATACTTGGTCGGGAATCCTTTTGCAGAAATGACTGCTTCAATGCGGCGTGGCATGGAGGCAATCAGCCTGTGGCACTGCTGAGGTGTTATGGAGGCCCAGGATGCTTCGATAGCGGCCTTAAGCTCATCCAGAGTGTTGGGTCTTGCGTCTCTCAACTTTCTCTTCACAATATCCCACAGATTCTCTATGGGGTTCAGGTCAGGAGAGCTGGCAGGCCAATTGAGCACAGTAATACCATGGTCAGTAAACCATTTACCAGTGGTTTTGGCACTGTGAGCAGGTGCCAGGTCGTACTGAAAAATGAAATCTTCATCTCCATAAAGCTTTTCAGCAGATGGAAGCATGAAGTGCTCCAAAATCTCCTGATAGCTAGCTGCATTGACCCTGCCCTTGATAAAACACAGTGCACCAACACCAGCAGCTGACATGGCACCCCAGACCATCACTGACCGTGGGTACTTGACACTGGACTTCAGGCATTTTGGCATTTCCTTCTCCCCAGTCTTCCTCCAGACTCTGGCACCTTGATTTCCGAATGACATGCAAAACTGAGCAACAGTCCAGTGCTGCTTCTCTGTAGCCCAGGTCAGGCGCTTCTGCCGCTGTTTCTGGTTCAAAAGTGGCTTGACCTGGGGAATGCGGCACCTGTAGCCCATTTCCTGCACACGCCTGTGCACAGTGGCTCTGGATGTTTCTACTCCAGACTCAGTCCACTGCTTCCGCAGGTCCCCCAAGGTCTGGAATCGGTCCTTCTCCACAATCTTCCTCAGGGTCCGGTCACCTCTTCTCGTTGTGCAGCGTTTTTTGCCACACTTTTTCCTTCCCACAGACTTCCCACTGAGGTGCCTTGATACAGCAGTCTGGGAACAGCCATTTGTTCAGAAATTTCTTTCTGTCTTACCCTCTTGCTTGAGGGTGTCAATGATGGCCTTCTGGACAGCAGTCAGGTCGGCAGTCTTACCCGTGATTGCGGTTTTGAGTAATGAAACAGGCTGGGAGTTTTTAAAAGTCACAGAAATCTTTTGCAGGTGTTTAGAGTTAATTAGTTGATTCAGATGATTAGGTTAATAGCTCGTTTAGAGACCCTTTTCATGATATGCTAATTTTTTGAGACAGGAATTTTGGGTTTTCATGAGCTGTATGCCAAAATCATCAGTATTAAAAAAATAAAAGACCTGAAATATTTCAGTTGGTGTGCAATGAATATAAAATATATGAAAGTTTAATTTTTATCATTACATTATGGAAAATAATGAACTGTATCACAATATGCTAATTTTTTGAGAAGGACCTGTATATATATATATATATATATATATATATATATATAGATAGACTTTTTTTGGGGGGGGGGTCGATAGACTCAATCTACTGCATCTACACCAACTATGTTTTGAATGCATGAAGATAGAATACCTTTATGATAGAATAGCTTTATGACCCATCTCACCTTTTAAACCATGTTTAAGGCAGTGCTCCAGAACCACGAAAAACTGCTGCAGAGGTGGATACTCAGAGTCCAGCGTGCGTCCGAGACTGAGGGAGGACTGGATCAGAACCTTAATGCTGAGCTTCATCATGCTGAGGAGATTTGACCGCTCCACCACCATGGGATCCTTCACAGCTGGACAGATCCGAGACAACACGGATGCATTAACACACGAACACAGCAAACACTTCCTGTGGCATCTGCAAAACTACTCACTCAGCACACTGTCGGTTAGTTTAACTGGTGAGTCAGTGTAATTAAGTGCAAACGCAAAACAATGACTCAAATATTGCAGTATCTTAGAACAACAAAAAAAGCCTTAAACGGAACTCGAGGGGAAGTGGAAGTTCCTGCTAGAGAAAAAATATCCAGTCAGGAAGCAGGTGCATTATTCAATTCCTGTACGCTGTAATGGTCTAAAAAAATAATTATGTCATATGTTGCCATAATATATAAAAAAAGCTACAGATGTAGGGCAACATATAACACTGGCTGTATTAAAATGTCTCAGCTTAAATGTATAAGTCGCTTGTTATAATCATGCTGAATAATGACCAGATGAGTTGCAAGGATTCAGCTCATGAATAGATGAAACTGTTTGATGCAATAACTTGGACATTCTTTTGAATGGTTTTGTGGTGTCTAGGTCTCTGTTACAAAACTGTACTGGTGTTTATATGCTATCAAATGGTAATATCATGGTTCTTTGTCGTATCACATAGTATTGAAATTTTTTAATATATTCTTATACCTTTGTATTTGGGAGGCTAATATGACATTTCAGCAGTAGACTGGTATGCTATATTTTTAATTACTTTTACTTTAGTACACTGTATAATTATTATTCATGCAGTTTCATATTTATCATCAAGCAAATGCATTATTTTCTCATGTCAAGTACGACAGGGGTTTTTAAACTGGGGTCTGGGGGTCACAGGGGAGAGCTAGAGGGTCTATGGAAAAGTTTAGAAGAGAAAAAGCGTAAAATAAAATTAATTAATTACTTAATTAAATAACTCGGGTCGATGAAAGGTCTCGAGGTAACCCTTCGAATGCACCCAGGCCCGAGCTTCCAGCACCGAGGGGCCCTTCCTAACCCCAGAGTCCAAAGCCCGGGGACATCCCTGGACCGAGATACGGCCACTTCCTATACAGCTTTGACCGGTCATAACTCTGGAACCGAGCTGCCCCAGGGCTCCAGACTTTTTAATAAAAATAAAAAAACTTTATTGAATTGAATAAAATACGGTAGATTTAAATAAATAATACACCAACAGCACAGTACTATAGTATAAAAAGTATAGAAGAGTTTAAAAAAAAATTAATAATGTAACAAACTAAATGTTTTCCACACAATATTTTCCATTTATATAATTTTATATATATATATATATATATATATATATATAAACATTTATAAATACAATTTTCAGAGTAGGATTGGGTATTTGTGCATGACAGATAACAGATGCAGTAGCTGTCTTTTAAAACTTTAGGATGAGGGTCCCTCCTCACACAAGGATGATTATATTTGGGAGTCTGTGGCATTTAAGACTGAAAACCCCTGATTTATGACACGTCATGCAATATTAGTTTTAAATAGCTACTCGTTTCACGCTTCAGGGTTATTTAAATAGGCAGCAAAAAGGTTTAAAACTTCATAAAATACACATTCCCTTATCCATTCATACAAATCTGAACGTAATATTTTTATGTTGAAGTTATTTGTCAACTACCAATTTACATTGTGATATTACCATGGTACGTGCATGTATGTTTTAGTACAATATCATGGGAATACCCTTGTACCATGGTAATACCTTTTTACTTTTGTGTTAGTTCTGTTATTGACTACTTATCTTGGTAAAGTAAGTGCAGTCAGTGAACGTTCTTATCCCTATATTTAAATGTCAGACTGAGGAACAGGTGTCCTACCTGCTGTCTTTATGGGATCAGAGGTGTCAGAGGTGTGCTGTGATGTGTCAGATCCCTTTAACCCCGCACTGTAATGATTCACTCCGATGCTGAGTGTCTCCGACGCTTTACGAGCAAACGTAAAAATCGGCGCAGACCAAGAGCTGTCTGCCGGTTTGTCCATCTGGACCTCGTCGGTATCATTTGCGACATCATTTTGCACCGGTTCCGTAGCCTCTGGGTCTCCTTCTTTTGCAGGAACGTCCTCGGATTCAACTTTCGTGTTTGGGTCCTCCTCGTCCGCCATGTTTACTTGTCAAAACATGTGACTCGAGACCAAAGCAATCGAGTTTGATCGCTTAGGGGAGACAAATCCATTAGCGAGCGAGCAGATTTTTCCTTTCAAAACAAATCTTTAGCCATCCATTTCAACAAATTAAAATGATTATTAAATTATTTGAAATCTTATATTAATTGAATATAAAATATAATTAAAAATTAAAAATGCAAAAGTTATTAAAGATAGATTGAAAAACAGACAGACAGATCGCCAGGTAGATAGATTGTTAACCTTTTTAAGTTTAACATGCGATACACTTAAAAATAGAAACAGCAAATTTGATATTTATGCTGGTTTGACTCTCTATGTAACAGTTAAAAAATGTCACTAGATGGCAGTAGCCAACCCTGCTTTGCTTATTTGAATGGTGAAACCTTTTTTTTACAGTCTATGGGTGAAACACTGATCATATGCATGATGCAGTTTGTTCAATGTGTTGTTGTGGTCCTCCTATATATAAAAACAGGGAAAGATGTCTCTGATGCGAAGTAGTTTTTAGGATTTCAGAACAGCCGTCCTAACCCAAGTGTTTACATTTTATTTGTAAAAGTTTCTCTTGATTTCCAAAAATTGTGATGGATTAACAAAAGTCACTAGGTGTGACAATGAAAGAATGCAGTCGTGGTTAAGCCCGGGTGTTAAGGATTAAGGAGAATTAAAGATATATGTCAGATCTTAACATGTAAAGCAATTTAATGTTTGGTCATGAATGTTCTCATTCATTTAATCACACCAGATTGCCAGAAAAGGAAATTTCAAATACAGCTGAACCTGGTTGCTTCACTACGGGGATTTGTAGAGACTAGCCTACGTTTAACCATTAACTAACATTCATATCATCATCAGATCATTAGGCAATGTTTGTTTAAACAGTTAGACATATCATGCATATCATTTTTTATCTGAGTCAAATTTAATTTTTCTAGCTTTTAAATTTGTCTTGTGCATAAATGTCAATAAGTCAAATAAATTGTGATAGACGTTCAAAGTAGGCCTGTATTGACTGCTCCAGTAACAATGGCAATTTATTTGTGAAATATGCATGAACTAAAATGTAGAACCTTACTAACACCAGAATACATCAGTTGTTTAAAATACTGTATATGATATATTATGAAGTAGCCTAAGTTAACCAGGAAAAAAAGGAAGAGATTCTTCAACATTTTTTTCAACATAAATAAATAAATAAATAAAAACGGCAAGCTTGACACACAATCTGTTCCAGCTCTAGTGGGCGTGGCCACCGTCATGATCATATTTAAACGGCTGTCAGAGTGAGACGCGGCTGATTTTTAACCTTGACGCACGAGAGACGCTCACAGTAACAAAGTAACACTCGAAGACAAAAAGTAACAATCTCCTGTGACTTCAAAGGAATTAAGAGAGCGGGAAGGATTTTATTTTTAACAACTGATTCTATCGTCGTCATGACCAGAAGGGAAAATATGAAGTTTTTAACTGTTTTACGTCTTTTTGTCTTTACCATCGGTGAGTAGGCTAACGTTATATCTGACCGACGGTCACTTATTGCTGAAGGGTCTCGAATTCCAATCCTGAGCTAGTTTTATATATAAATGTAAAATGTAATGTTTTTAATAAAATGCTTTGTATTTATGTGGAATTTTCATAAAATGGCTTGTTTAATGCTTAACACAGACTTTGTTTAACCCTTTAAAACCTAAGATTTGCCAGTGAATCTATTAATGGGTCAACAATGTCATTCTGTTTTAAGAATATTCTGGGATATATTTATTTTTGTCTCATGCGTTCATTCGTTAGCTCAGTGTCTGTGCATGCAAGATTTTTGTAAATGAAGCCCCTCAGCACCCTCTATGGGTATTAGGTAATGCACACAAACTATTATTAGTTTTAAAACATGCTTATTTGTATGTTAGCCTCGACACCTTGAAATAAACTGTTAAATTGTAGTTAAAATGGAAAATATTGGTGTGCTCTTTGCATTAATGAAGAAAAATAAGACAAAAATACAATTTTGAGACCCCCAGTGAGTATATTATTTACACTGTGGTCAACAATCCACTGCCTAACCGTTAACAATCAATCAGCCTAACTAATCAAGTTTTAATGGCTATTTACTATGTTTTCCCATTCAGTGGCTGTCACGTCGGTGAACTGTGCGTCTATAGAGCGGTTCGAGAGCCAGAGGCCTCCACAGACAGCTGTGATTGATCTTTTGGAAGCATTGAATGAGAAGAGAACTACTTCGGACGACAAGCAAGTGGAATACGAGGAGGAAAGCGAGGAGTATTACTATGACGACGATGAAGAGGATGAGGAGTTTTCGGGGGATTATGGGCTGCCGTTGGGTAATTATTGTTTCTTTTTTGCATGCGTGGCTTACTTGGTGTGCCGTAGAATTCGTTTCAATATAAGTTAACTGTATATTTTCTCTTCTCTCCCACCAAAACAGTTGCGTTTTCAAGCAAACCCAAAGACCCGAGTGCAGTTTTGAAGGCAGAGATAACTGAAGATTTAAAGAGGAAGAGGCTCGGAAGGAAGAAGGGAAAAGGAAAGGGAAAAGGCAAGAAAAGGAACCCTTGTCTAATAAAGTACAAGGACTTTTGTATCCACGGAACCTGCCAGTACCTGAGGGACTTGAAGGGGCCCTCATGCATGTAAGCACTTCCCTTAAGCCACATCGCCTGTCATTTCTGTGATTTTTATGTCTATTATATTCAAATAGTCCTATTTTATAGCCGTGAATGAGAATCAATGGTTATTTTTTTCCCCCAGATGTGACTCTGGCTACTCAGGAGAGCGCTGTCACCTTTTCTACCTGGAAGTAAAGACGAGTGGTGAGGCGTACGACCGCACTACGGCCCTCGCTGTGGTGGCTGTGGTTCTCTCTTCGTTATGTCTCACCATCATTGGACTTCTCCTGGCACTCAGGTTTGTTTTTAACCCCCCTCTTTAGTTTCTATAAGCGAGTGGATGTGTGCAGTGCAGTTTATCATAATGTCAGTCTTTTTATCATCTAGGTTTCACAAGCAAGGCGCATACAATGTGGAAAATGAGGAGAAGGTTAAACTGGGAGCCGCCCCACACCACTAAACGAGACGGGAGAGGACGGTGAGTGAAGTCATCCATTTGTATAAACTGCATAAACTCATCCAGCCTGACTTGACTCAGTCGCTTGACATCTGGGTTCTTGTTTTATTTCAGGGCGACCGTGTGGAAATTCTACCTCAAAATGAAGTGGCAAAGTTGAATGTTGTGGAGAGCAGCGGGCACAGCGTGCTGGAGAAGAGGGAAGAGTTACCGTGTTTGTTTGGCAGGACTCGTGGCGCCTCCGTGAACTGCCTGACTCTCAAATGACTCGCTAAAAGGTTCGCAGGAGAGCTCAAATCCTGCCACCAACTGGAACTATGACGGACGGACTCGGTTGGGAAGAACCTGAGCCGTTCGATACAGAATAAGAAGGACCTCTTCGGGGTTGGGAATGTAGTTTGTGTTGTAGAGGCTAGGCTTTTTCTAGTACTGAAGAAGCTTTGCCTGAAATGAGTATTCTTACAAATAAGCATTTTTGTTTGTCTTGTGCACTGTGTATTTAATCGTTGCTGGCTATGCTTTAATTTATTTATTTATGTATATATATATCTATCTATTAATATTTATTTGGATGTAGACCAACCTTGTCCAGCCCTAATGCACTGGCAATGTATTTGAAAGTCTTTGTTGTGTTGTATGTCTATGTAAAATTTTATTTATTAAAAAAAAAGCAATAGTAATCCGTGTCTATTCAGTATGTGAGTACTGAACAATGGTAGACTGAATCAAAATAATTATTGTATATATACTAAAATAAGTATATATAGTATATGCTATTTTGATATTTTTTCGTGCATTTAATGAGAATATTTTGGAATTATTTGTATTTTAATGTCCAGGACAGTGTTAGAATGTATTTTACAGCAAACTTTATGAAAAAAAAAAAATCATATTTCAAGCTTACTTTTTAAGGAGAGAAAAAAACAACTTTTTTGGGCCAGTAAAATGCACTGTTATTGAACGGTGAGCAAATTATGAAATGTGAATTATTTCGTTTGAGCGGTTCATTTTCTGTTATTTAATTTCAACATCCTGATCTATAAGACAAAGAAATTGTTTCCTCACTCTCTCATTGTATGTATGGAGTATAAAAAAAAAAAAATGCTCAGACAAATAATAAAAACTCTTTATATACAAGAACAAATGTATTGTATTTCCATGAGAGATTTGTATGCTCACTATGTTCACAAGGAGGAAGATTCCAGTGTTTTGCAATGAGTAATTTCCTCATGAGGCCAGTTACGACCGGTTTCCCATTTTGAGGATATTTTTGAAAACTGGAATAGCGATATGAATACTGTAATGTCTACGGTTTGTCTAGTCTGCCTCCTGCTTTCAATTCCAAAGATTTCTTTCATGTGACATGCACCTGTATCCTGAACATGTGACCTGCATTGTGGCCCTTTCACATTGACAATAAACACACTTTCACAAACACACCCATCGCATGCAACTCTTCACCTTGCATTACCCGCATAACTCGCTTGCATCATCTTGAAATAGCACTTCCTCTATAGAAAGTTGTGATGCTTGTGTGCTGGCCACACCTTCAGCGACAAGACTTCCATTTTATTCTCAAATCTCTCCCCCTGATCTATAAAAACTGATCTGTGACAGACTTAAAAGACTCCATAGGAACCCACAACCACAGAGCTCATTTCCTTTTGAATGTTTAAAGTCGGTCTCAGATCTTTTGTTGTTTTTTTAACCTTTGACCCTCACTGTTTTTAAACGTCCGTGGCAAACCACCTCCGCAAAATGCATTAGCAAGCCCACTCAGTCCAGCTTGTTCCATACACTGCCGGTCTGCTTTAATGCATGACTCATGCTGTTAGTTTGTAAAGCTCCTATGGGTGACATCATTCATACAGGGGCATCAGAAGATGTGTTTGCTGAGTCCGAACTTTATCACTGTTTGTTACTGATACTAAAGGATAACATGAGCGTTTATTGTTTTATACTTGTATAAGTTCACTCAGCTTTCGGTAACTGGATATGGCGTGGTCAGCTGACTGACCTGGCAGGGGATACGGGTAGCTCATCACACGCTGGGTGGCCGACAGCCCTCTTTTAGGGATGACATCATTCCCATGCTTTATGAGCTCTCCAATCTAACTCAGCCACATCTGGTCGGAATACTGTACATATGGGTTTGGGTCACACCCTGGCAGTACGTCGGGCTTACAGTTCATAATTCAGGAAGGCTATGATGACATGCACTCAGACATTGCTTGTAGTGGCTCTGCCTTAAGACATCTCCATTGGTTGTGTAAGATGACTCAGTTGAGTAACATTTATTGTTTGCTGGTAAAAACTTGCCTTTTCTCAAAACCTATTTGTTGAGCAAGGTGTTTCCTGCTTTAACAATGGCTCATTTCCATCGTACAATGGAAGTGCGCACACTGACAGTTGGGAAACTCATTAGGCCACCAGAATGTGTTGGGCTAAAGGCTCACTTTGCTCACCTTTTAATGTGACTACACACTACAATCACAGCACACTTTTCATACCATTGACTTCTATTCACTTGCATGCCAATTGCGGGAGACTCATGCAAAGAAGTTTCGCTGTGTTTCAAAGTTCAAGTTCGGTGAACCCTGACCTGTAAATTTGTATCACGTGAAATCGTGTTACCATGGTGCAGGTATGACATCAGAACCCGGAAGTCAAATTCGCCGCTGGCTCCTTTGAGATTTTCCTATGGTGTTTTTGAAATGGGTTTTTATTTTTATTTATGAGTAAAATAAAGCCTGTGGTAAACATAACTTGACGATACTTTGACGTTTTGTTCTACAATGTACACTGCACACACTCACACCCCAAACTTTCTTATGTAGTTAATTATTTAAAAAACTATAAGCTAGTGTAGATTCAGTCAGAACCCGACGTCGGACTGACGTCAACCTGATTTTCCTTTTCAACGTTGGGTTTGGTCTTCTAAATGTGAATTTTGTCATTGTTTTGGAGCACACTAGCTTATAGATAACAGTAAGGCTAACATATTCATACTAAAAGCCAAAAAACGTTAAATAGGGCACTTTTTGAGGGAACAGCCCTTTGGGTGTCCGAAACCATTGTGGACGTTATTGAGTGCACTTATTCAATCTCACATTCAATCCCACTACTGGACCTGTGTTCTAGAAATAAATGTGATATTGATATGAAGGCAGGCAGGCATAGATTCAGAGGCATAAGGTACTGTAAGTATTACATACAATAATAAAACAATGCATTGACATTTACTTTTATAAACATTTGACACTTAAGTACTTTTAAAAACAAGCACTTCTGCACTTTTACTTAAAGGGATACTCCACCCAAAAATGAAAATTCTGTCATCATTTACTCACCCTCAAGATGTTGCAAACCTGTATGAGTTTCTTTCTTCTGCTGAACACAAAGGAAGATATTTTAAAGAACGATTGGAACTTTGGCACCATTGACTTCCATAGTATTTTTTTTTTCTACTATGAAAGTCAATGGTGCCAAACAACTGTTTGGTTCCAATCGTTCTTCAAAATATCGTCCTTTGTGTTCAGCAGAAGAAAGAAACTCATACAGGTTTGCAACAACTTGATGGTGAGTAGCCCACATGATGACAGAATTTTTATTTTTGGGTGGAGTGTCCCTTTAAGTAAAAATCGGTCTTTACAACTTTTACTTGTAACGGAGTAATATTTGACCAGTAGTATCTACTTTCACTCAAGTAAGGAAGTTGTGTACTTTGTCCACCTCTGATTGTAACAGGATTGCGGTAAAGTAGATTGCATATTTTTACATTTTGGATGTGTTAAAAGGTGTGACGTCAAATGACAACCATTACAGTGTTCGTTGAAAAGTCTAGTGCGACCGCAGCTTTAGATGTTTGTTTTCGCTCACTCACCTGACACCTGTTAAGCAGGGTGTGTGTGTGCAGCATATTAATGACTCTCTGGCACCGCAGAAGAGCAGCTGTCACTCTGACACACTGTCACTCCACCGGTGAAATACGAGCTGTGATGGATGAGGTGTCGACAGAGCCATTGTGATTCAACACTGAAAGTGTTGAGCACAATGACATAGCCTACTCGATTTCACCAGGTTCCTATGTGGTTGTTGGTGGCCACAATATATTAGGAATCATTCGTGTCCATAGCAAGTGTATGAGTATTGTGCTAAAATGTAACCTTTTTTTGAACCAGTTGTCCACTTAAAGGGGTCATCGGATGCCCATTTTCCACAAGTTCGTATGATTCTTTAGGGTCTTCATGTAAAGTCTGTAACATTCTTTGGTTAAGATTCCTCAATGGCTGTTTAAAACAACACCCTTTTTACCTCCTCAAAACAGTGAATGGATTTTTTTCATTGTATGGTGGTTGTGTCCACACACTGCAAAGACATATGCAAACACCATATAAAAGTGAATTTTGCATCCGATGACCCCTTTAATATTCAGCAATATTATTGATCTGACTATACTGATGCTGTTGAATGAGAACTGAACTGAGCAGGACGGTGACATCATTTTTTGCAAAACTGCTTTATAGGCTAGATGAAAAGAACTAGGCTAATTTAATCATTAATTTATGATATTTCCAATGAAACTGAATCAACACTGAACTGACTTCAACTGAACAACAGCCGAAATGCATAATCTTCCTGTTATCACTGTAAAGTTGCTTTTAAACAATCTGTATTATATAATGCGCTAAATAAATAAAGGTGACGACTTTTGATATTACTTTATCACTATTCTCTTATAGGCCTATTTTATTGTTTTCATAAATGACTGGCAAAAATAAAAAGCACCTCAGTAATATTTACTATTAAGTTCTTTTGCAAAGTACAGATGAATAATTATTTCAAAATAACAAATTTCAGAAAACGAAAGGCAATGATGAAGAAATTATTTGCGGTTCAATTCATGCATCAAGGGTTAATATTTAGGCTATTGGTTTTTTGAAAAGCACATGACCATTAAATAAGTGAAGCTTAGAAAACCCCATTATTATGAACATTATTAATATAAATACACAACATGAATATTATTAATACTAATTGTTATTATTATATAAATATTACATAATAGATTACATTGTTTATACAATTATAAGGAAATTACTTCATTTATATTTTAACTATTATATTAATTTGTCATTTTTAACGTTGAATTATCCATAGCACATGACAGACAGAAGAGTGGGATGAATGGCTAAGGATTATGGGTAGGAATTTGGATGTTTACAGTGGTCCCACTTCTACTGTCTCATGGCATAATAAACATAAACTCTCTCATGTGCCATCTGTCTATCTCCTGGAGAGCCAGTAGTCCACTTCATCTTCTCTCCTGATGGCCCATTGGAGCTGCCATCAGATTCTTTCACCGTGACCTCATGGTGCTGGACAGACACTTGTGTATCTTTATCACGTTATTAAATTCTCACCCGTCTATTTAGATCCCCTGGAGAGTCCGAGCGGGATTGTATGACAAATGTGAGGAGAAGATATGATAGCGCTGTGGAGCGGTGAGGGGAAAAAATGACCATGGAGCCATCCATTTTTTGCTCTAGCTCCTGCACAAACAAATTCAGTTGCTTTTTCAGTGAATGCTATCAATAAACATTGGGAATCTGATTGTGGCTTGTGTTGAGCATTGCCTTTTTTTTTTTCTTTTTTTTTTTACCACAATGCAGAATTCAGCCAGAAGGGATGGATGTCTTGCCCTTGACTCACA